GGAACTCATAGAGCTCCGCCTGCCTCTGCTTCCCAAATGCTGGGATTAAAAATGTGTGCCATTAAGCCAGCCTTCCTTTTGGTTTTTACAGTTGTCTATGTAGCCCAGGCTGGCCTTGAATTTACCATCTTCCTCCTTTTGTCTCCAGGAATTATAGACCCAACCTGGACATCTCTTTTTAAATATCTTAGCTTGCCCCCATGTGAATTCTTAATTTATACCCTTTCCCCACTTTTCTCCTGGGTCATGGGTTCTTTATTTGTTGATTTTCGAGATTTCCTGAGTGTGTGTGTGTGTGTGTGTGTGTGTGTGTGTGTGTGTGTGTGTCCTCTTTATTTTACCAGCTATTAACTTCTCATGTATTTATGAACATATCTGGAGTCTACTAATATTCCTTTCATCCCAGCACTTAGGAAGCAGAAGCAAGAGGATCAAGGTTAAAGGTCATCCTTAATTGTTTAGCTAGTTAAGACCAACATGAGAACTGAAACACCAAAGCAAAGGGGCTAGAGCAGAGATGACTTGACAGTTCAGAGCACTCACTGTTTTTCCAGAGAACTCTAGCTGAGATCCCAGCACCAACATCAGGCAGCTCACAACCGCCTATGATTCCACCTCCAGGAGATCTGACACCCTCTTTTGGCCTCCACAGACATATGTGCCACACATGCAGACACATGCACACTCATAACTTTAAAATATTAATATTTTTTTAAACAAACAATAGTTTGGGTACACAACTATGGATCAGCCTCACCGAGTGGCAGAGGGACTGGGCAGGGCTCTGGTATTGCTCCTGGATAACTATGTGGTGGTTCCTCAGGGACGACCTGGCCCAGCTGCCCTTCCTGACCATGTGCATCAAGGAGAGTCTGCGGCTGCATCCCCCGGTCACGATGATCTCCCGCTCCTGCACCCAGGACGTTGTGCTCCCAGATGGCCGGGTCATCCCGAAAGGTGCCTCAATATCAGTAGGAGGAAGGACCTGGGTAGGATGGGGGTCCCCAGAAACAACATGGACCTTGTCCTGATGGTCTCCTTACTCAACAGGGAATGTCTGTGTCATCAGCATCTTTGGAGTTCACCACAACCCTTCAGTCTGGCCAGACCCTGAGGTGGGAACCTGTCCTTTCCCCAACTCTGGGACCTGAGGAAGAGGCACAGGCCTACCTGGGAAACCAGAACTATCCTTCTCCTTTCTCTATGTCTGTCTTTACTGCGGTCGGCTCAATGTCGGAAGAGACACAACGGGTTAACATAGTCTTCCCTGGCTTGCAGGTCTACAACCCCTTCCGCTTTGACCCAGAAACCCCACAGAAGAGGTCTCCTCTGGCTTTTATTCCCTTCTCAGCAGGGCCCAGGTGAGGCTGGTGGTCTTGGGGTAAAGGGGGAGGAATATGAGTCTGATGGTGGGGACAGGGGACAACTGGGTGGGTCAGGATTCTGGGTCTCCTTCCCGACCTGTGTTTGGGTTATGTGCAAAGGTCTGCAGAATCAAGGGTTGCAAGGTCAAAGGCTCTGTACTCTGAGCCCCGCCCTGGTTCAAGTTGGGCGCCGAGGGGAAGGTCCCAGTAATACGGACGGCCATGCAGCGCCCTCCTGCCCCTCAGACTGACCAGGTGCAGCGGGCACATGGTCAGGATGGGTCCGAAGGTGCCTGGCTGGGTCTCAGTGCAGTCCCCACCCTGTCCTCCCGCAGGAACTGCATAGGACAGACTTTCGCCATGAGCGAGATGAAGGTGGCGCTGGCGCTCACCCTACTGCGCTTCCGCGTCCTGCCGGACCACAAGGAGCCGCGCAGGCAGCCGGAGCTGATCCTGCGCGCAGAAGGCGGGCTGTGGCTGCGGGTGGAGCCGTTGAGCACGGATGCACAGTGACCCCCCAACATCTAGCCTGGGACCACCCCCACCCACCCGCCTACCTTTTTGGATTTCTGAATAAGTAGAGCTGTCTCCTGTGCCTGAGGGGCAGTGAGCACCAGCCCAGAATTTGACCCCAAGAGTCTCACTGCCTGCTGGGTGACCACAGGGCCTCCATGCTGATCAGTGTTCTCCTGGAATTCAAGCCTAGACTTTATCCTGTGAGATCCACCATAGGTGTTTTGAGTGGGAGAGGGGAGCAGGCTTTCCACTAGAATTGAGTCTTTGTGATCATTGAGGCAAACCCTGAAAGTCACTTCATTTCCACCTTTATTCTCTTGTGGTCAGACTTAGAGCAATCCTCCTGCTTCTGCCCTCCGGGTGTCGCACTTACGGGAGCAGACCGCTCCACTAGACCCGCCTCTTACATATGAAGGGATAGTTGTAGGATCCGAAGTTCCTCCAGCGTGGGGACTCTCGGAACCCTGGGGGATGGTGTTAAATATCTTTTAGGGCTTGTGATGGCTAAAGCAGCTAAAATTTACATGAAATTATACAGACAGGCTCCCCAGCTTTCTTTCGCCTTTTCAGCAACAGAGTGCTTCTGCCTGCAGGAGGCTCTCACGAACTTACCCTATCGAATCACTTCCCAGCTTTGACTTTTCTTTTCCTATCACAAGATCGTTAAAACTGAGTTTCAAGGGCTGGAGAGATGGCTCAGAGGTTAAGAGCACTGGCTGCTCTTCCAGAGGTCCTGAGTTCAATTCCCAGCAACCACATGGTGGCTCACAATCATCTGTAATGAGATCTGGTGCCCTCTTCTGGCCTGCAAGCAGACATGGAGACACAACACTGTATACATAATAAATACAATGAATCTTCAAGGAAAAAAAAAATCAAGTCTTGGCTTTTGCACTAGGCTAACTGACATGCTTGGTTTAAAACAAAACAAAACGGACTGACTTTGAATTGGTCATAGTGGCACGTGCCTTACCCTCCCAGAGGCTGGCTGAAGTAGAGGGATGTTAGAGACTAATGGTTGCAGTCAGCCTGAGCTACACAGTGAAATACAGTCTTAAAGGGGGACAGAGGTCTGTTGATAGAACGGAAGCCCAAGGTTCCATTCCCAGCATCCCATGACATGGTGTTACAAGCCTAAAACTTAACACTTGGGAGGTGGAGGCAGGAAGATCAGAAATTCAAGGTCATCCTTGGCTACACAAGTTCCAAGCCAGTCTGGGATACATGAGGTACTGCCTCAAAAAAACATTATTTAAGCCATTATTTTAAGGCGGTGGTGGCGCACGCCTTCAATCCCCCAGCACTCAGGAGGCAGAGGCAGGCGGATCTCTGTGAGTTTGAGGCCAGCCTGGGCTACAGAGTGAGTTCCAGGACAGGCTCCAAAGCTACACAGAGAAACCTTGTCTCAAAAAAAAAAAAAAAAAAAAAAAAAGAATTGGAAAATGGAAAAGTATTCAGGTTTGAGAGTTGCAAACACCCAGAAACATAACCCAAATAACTTAGCTTACCATGAATTGAAACAAGTATCACATGATGTTATTTATTTGTTTGTTTACAGTTATTTGAGACAGGATCTCACTGTGTAACCCTGGCTGGCCTGGTACTTTCTATGCAGACCAGGCTGGCCTCAAACTCACATAGATCCAGGAGTCTCTGCGTCTCTGGTGTTGGGATTAAGTTGTGTGTCACCCCTCGAAGTAGTTACTTCTTAAACTACATTGACTTATTCATTTTGTGTGTGGGAGCGGGGGGTGGGGGGGGTGCATGTGCCACAATGTGTAAGTGGAGGTCAGAGGGCTGCCTTCCCTGATGAGCCACCCCCAGCCCATCAGGTGAGATCCGAATGGTCTTCCTACACTGGTGACTCCACTCTTTGGTGTATTGGGGTGATAGTTATCTTTGATTTTATACTTTTCAGAGCACAGTCACTCACTTCAGAACCTGAGGGACGAATCACACAACAGGAAAGATCTTAGACTTTGAGCAAATAAAGGGGACAGGTGAACTCTGGGTTATATTCCCTTGGGAATGTTGTTGTGTGTCCTTTGTTTGGGAGGAGACTAGAAAAAGAGTATTTTGGTAGTTGCTGGGTGGACTGTTTCGGTGACTGCAGCTGTTAACATTTGGCCACCATACCCATTATTCCCATGACATCTATTTATTTATTTAAGATTATAATGTAGTTATAACATTTTTCCCTTTCCTTTCTTCCTTCCAAACCCACCCATATATCCTTCCCCACCCTCCTTCAAATTCCTCCTTCAAATGGCCTCTTTTTTCATTGTTACTGTGTGCATGTATGAATATGAATATACATATATATTCCTAAATGTAGCCTGCTCAGTCTGGATAGTTACTTATATGAATGGTTTCAAGGCTGACCATTTGTTTATGACAGGTGAGGTGGTGCAAGCCTTTAATCTTAGCACTCGGGAAACTGAGGCATGTGAATTTTGTGAATTCAAGGCTAGCCTGGCCTACATAGCAAGTTCCAGGACAGCCAGGACTATATAGAGGGCTCCTGTCTCAAATAAAAAAAAATATTTCTTTTTATTTTATGTGCATGAATGCACTGCATGCATAAGTATAGATAAACACAGAATCCAGAAAAGGGCATTGGATTCCCCAGAACTAGTTACAGGCAGTTGTAAGCTGCCATGCTGGTCCTGAGAATAGAACCCTGTGCAATCCTAATTAGTCTTAACAATAAAAACCCAGAGTCAGATGTCGAGGATGAAAGCTGAAAGATCAGAGAAGCAGAGCAGCCAGCCACCAGAGACTTCTTACCTCTACAAATCCTCACACCAAATAGGAAGGGAAGGGGTCCTGTCTCTAAGAATCCTCAGACTGAAGCGGGGAGATCCTGTCTCTACCTGCCTTATTTTCCTATCTCCACCTCCCTAGTGCTGGGATTAAAGGTTTGAACCTCCCATGTGCTGAGATCAAAGGCATGAGATCCCAAGTACTACCCAGCTCCATTTCTCTTTTAGACAGGTTCAATCTCATGTAACCCAGAGTGGCCTTGAACTCCTGATCTCCCTGCTTCCTCCTCCTACGTGCTGGGACTAAAGGTGTTTAATTAATTAACTGCCTGGCCTCTATGATTAACTGGTGGTTAGCTCCACCCTCTGATCTCCAGGCAAGCTTTATTTGTCAGAACACAAACAAAATATACAACAACCCTGATCCTCTGCCATAGCAGCAAGTGCTCTTAACTTCTGAGCTGTCTCTCCAGCCCAGTGATTCTCATAACTATATAGCATGTTTTGAAGGGAGTAATGGGATTCTTCAATTATATTTTTATTTTCAAATAAATTTTGGCAATTCTGTGCCCTTTGGGTTTTCACATAAATTTCGTAATTACCTGAACATCACTTTTTAAAACTGCTCTACCAGAGGTCCTGAATTCAATTCAATTCAGAGGCATGTACCTTTGATCCTAGCACTCAGGAGGCAGAGGCAGGTGGATCTAGGGAGTTCCAGGACACTTTGACCTACATGGTGAGACCCTGTCTCAAAATTAATTAATTTCAAAGTCAGTGTGTCTACTTCTACAAAGAGTGCTGCTACGATTTTGTTAAAGACTTCTTTAAATCAATAGGTCAATTTGAACAGAATCAGCATTTTAACATTATTAAGTTATCCTATCTATGAACGTTGTATGTCTCTCCATTTATTTGGATCGCCTTGAATTCCTCTCATCAGTGCCTTGAGGTTTTCATCATAGATGTCTTGCACATATTTGTACAACTGAGTACATTTTTATGGTGCCCATCAGTTTTAAAAAGTGATTCATTTCATCAGGAAATGCTCCATTCTTTGCTTTATGATGCAGCCAATGGTTTCATAGAGTAGTCTATTTGCTACATTGTTTCGTTCCCTGCTCTGATAGGCTTTGAAGACTCTGCCTAGCATCACAATGTTCATGAAGAGTTGGGGGGTGGGGGGTCTGTGGGGACCTGAAACTGCTACAGATGCCTGCTTCTACCTGGCTAGTGTGGGTCCTGTTTGTCTCCTGGCCTTGGAGAATGCTCCCTCTATAGGACAGTTTGAGAACAGCAGGCACAAAGGGAGCCGTCTTCATGGGCTCAATGTGTGTGTCCAGGACTGCAGTGGGAATTCTGGGAAGGTCACATACCACCCTTCTGAGGGCTCTAGAGACAGACTCCTGATGCTCTTGCTAACTGAACTGAGGTGGCAATGAGGCAGGTAGAGGGAGGTGAGGAGCCCTCACACACACACACACACACACACACACACACACACACACACACACACACCTCGTCCCCTTCCCGTCATAGTAGTTCTGCTAGGAATATGACTCTTTGAGCACTTGCTCTATGGGACCAATCACAGAGTAAGTCTGGACAGATTCCTGGGTGGTTCAAGGGGAATCATGTGATCTGGCCTAGGGGCTTGTCCTCCTGAGCAGCAGTTAGCTCTTCTATTAAATGAACATCTTTTCTTCTCTGGATGCCATCACTTGTGTCTCCCCCTGTGACATCCAGGACTCTGGCCCAGACTGCTGAGGAGCGCATTGTAGGAAAACTTGAGGTTGCCTGCATGCAAGAATAGACACACCTTATACCATCATGGTCATCACAGTCCTTCAGAGGAACAGAGCCAATACAATGAAAATACATTACTAAAGGGTATGTTAGCATGTCTTACACAGTTCTGGCAGAGTCTGTATGATAGAGAGGTTAAGATGTCTATATGGTGAAGTTGAGAGCCTTGTACTTGCTCAGTCCATGAAGCTGGATCTTCAGCAGTTCAAAACCTGGAGGGATGGGTTGGAGAGATGGCTCAGCGGTCAAGAGCACTGACTACTCTTCCAGAGGTCCTGAGTTTAATTCCCAGTAACCATATGGTGGCTCACAACCATCTGTAATGAGATCTGGCGCCGTCTTCTGGCCCGCAGTCATATATGCTGTATACATAATAAATAAATAAATCTTTAAAAAAAAAACTGGAGGGTACCTGAAGAACCATTGGTCTATAGTTTACATTGGAAGAATGACGAATATAGATTCCAGTGTCTGCAAACAGTGGCAGATTCAGAGTAGATCCACTCACCAGCAAGGAGCAAAGGTGGACAGGAAAAAGCAACCCTGCTTTTCCTTCAGATCTCTCTATCTCTCTGTATCTGGGCTGCAGCCGGTAGGTGTTGCCTTCTAGGGGAGGGTCTTCCTTTGCAGTTAATCTTTTCAGGAAATAGCCTCATAAGCTTGTCTGGAGGAATTCCTCTTAGTTGATTCCAGATCCAGACACCCAAGATCAAGCACTATAGCCACCTGGTGTACAGTAAGCAAGTTTTATGGGAAAGATGCTGCACCGTGTAGTACTTTCCTGTACTGGCTGGTTTTGTGTGTCAACTTGACACACAAAGAGTCGTCAGAGGAAGGAGTCTTGGGTGAGGAAATGCCTCCATGAGATCTAGCTGTAAGGCATTTTCTCAATTAGTGATCAGTGTGGGAGGGCCCAGCACATTATGGGCAGTGCCATCTCTGGGCTGGTGGTCCTGGGTTCTATAAGAAAGCAGGCTGAGCAAGCCATGAGGAGCAAGCCAGTAAGCAGCACCCCCCATGGCCTCTGCATCAGCTCCTGCCTCCAGGATCCCTGCCCTGTGTGAGTTCCTGTCCTGACTTCCTTCAATAATGAAGAGCAATGTGGAAGTACAAGCCAAATAAACTTTTTCCCCCAACTTGCTTTTTGGTCATTGTGTTTCATCGCAGCAATAGAACGCTAAGTAAGACATTTCCCTGCATGCCATACCCTCTCTACTTACAGGGCTTGCTCACAGCAGCTCCGGTAGTACTTACCAGGCTCTTCCTCACTCCTTCTGCTGGCACTCCTCTCTCCTCCTCAGAGGCTCTATGGACAGCTCCCTCCCTCCCCGGCTGTGAGAACTACAGTCAGGAGAGCTGGCCCTCCCCACAGTCAGAGAAAGATGGGGTAGAAAGAGGACTCACTCAGTGTTCCTTTGTTCTGCCCTCCCCTGTGTGGACCCCATCTCCTCAGAACCCTTTTCAGTCCCACCCCACATGTGCCCTAGTGCCTGTACCCCTTGCCCTGCAGCTCAGCCCAGCCCCAGCCACGTTCTGGTAGCTGGGCTCATTATCTTTGCAATCTGACCTGGGTAATCTCCAACAGTGCAGGATTCTTTATAACTGATCCTTTTCACCTGGGCCCTGGTCTGCTTACATTCTAAGCCTTAGGGGAAGGACATGAATTTTCCCAGGCTGTGAGACTGCCATGCAGGAGCATCACAGAACCTTAGTTTCACACCAAAAAAATGTTGTACACCATCCTTCCACCTTGCAAGCTTCTCTGGGGCTGGGATTACCTGATCCTGGTCTCCTGGCCTATGACTCTGTTCTTTTGCCTAATGTATCCTGTCCTTACAAGGACATGGGTGCTGGACATGTGATAACTCAGAATTACCTTTGCCCACACCTCCATTCTTGCCCCTCATCCCAGAAGGGAGTGCCCAAGTTCTAAGGATCAAGTGTTTTACAAGCCTGGTTGCCTTACCTTTAAACAAGGCCAGCCCTACCCCCACATCTTGGCCACCTTCCCAGGCCAGGAGCAAACAGTTAGGTCTGGAAGTGATTGGCTGGTCTAGTCCAACCCAGGCCCTCATAAACCCCTCCAGGAGCCAGAGACAAAGATGTCCCAAAAGAGGGGAGGAGGCTGTGGGGAACACATGAGAAGGTACCACGCTGCTGCTGCTGGGGCTACAGGGTCCTGGCTCAGGATGGGGTGTGAACACTGCTAAAAGGAATATAGCAGCAGGGGCCAGGTGGTCCAGGAGATAAGGATTTCTAGGCAACTGAGTCACAAGTAATGCCCATATGACTTAGACAGGTGGGAACTTTAATCAGTCTCTCGTTTCCATGTCTTCACAGTCTAATCTCCTTCTCTTCCTCTTCCTCATTATCTCTGTTCCCCTCTCATCCCTTCCCATACATTTCTGAGTATCCCTCCTCCTCTCTGCCCTGTCCCTATAGCCTAAGCAGTACCTGATCCTGTCCACTCTTCCTGGAAGTCCTCGTTCCTCTCCAGAGCTTAATATAAATCAGAAGGCTGGGTTTGTAGAGTGCTTGCCTAGCATAGAAGAGGCCCTGGGAAGGGGAGGGAGGAGGTACTGGAGAGATGGCTCAGCAGTTAAGAGCACTGACTACTCTTCCAGATGTAATGGAATGGGTTCAATACCCAGTACCCACATGGCTGTCTGTAACTACAGCTCCAGGGCTTCTGACATTCTCACACAGACATACATGCAGGCAAAACACCAATGAATATAAATTAAAAATAAGTTAAAAAAAAAAAAGAGGGTCCTGGGTTTGGTCTCCAATTCTGCATAAATGGAGAATTCTGGAGCACACCTGTAATTCCAGCACTCAGGGCTGAAATTAGGAGGTTTAGAAGCTTAAGTCATCTTTAGCTACACAGCATAAACACTGCCTCAGAACAACAAAATACACAAATTATGGTCATACAGAAGAGTGAATATTAACTAAAATGCCATTTAGACTCCATTTTAGAAAAGGAAGGAGGTGGGCTGGGTGTGGTGGTCCATATCTTTAATCCCAGCACTCAGGAAGCAGAGGCAGGTGGATCTCTGAGTTCAAGGCCAGCCTGATCTATAGAACAAGTTCCAGGACAGCCAGGGCTACACAGAAACTCTCTCAAAAAAAATCAGAAAGAAATAAAAAGGGAGAAGGGAGGGAGGAAAGAGAAATAAAAAAAGAAAGGAAGAAATAAGGAAAAAGAGAGAAAGAGAAGAAAGAAAGAAGAAAGTGAAGGGAACTAGAGAGAGAGCTCAGCAGTTAAGAATGTTCCTGCTCTTCCAGAGGACCAGTTCCCAGCCCCCATGTCAGATGGCTCACAACCACCTGTGACTCCGGCTATAGGAGAGAAGATGTCTTCTTCTGGCTTACACACACACACACACACACACACACACACACACACACAC